TTAGCCGCATGCTTCTTTCTAATCCCATTCCACCATCTAGAATCATTCTCTTCTTTCCATAGCTTTACCACTTATGGCTATCTTCTTACGTAAGCGTATAGTTTTCTGTGACTCGATTCTTTACTCAATTGTTGTTACTGTATTGTTATTTAAGATTTATTCAAATTGCTTTGTATGACTGTGGTTTATTCATATTGACTGACTGTTCTACAGCTGATCCACACACCTCTTGATTCAGTCGGATTGTCTCCAGTTTTTTGTTATGCCAAGAAAGCTGCTATAAACATTCTGTATGTTTTACCTGGCTTTGATCATTTTGGTTTTGGGGAGCACATTCACGTGTTCTAAAGCTTACGTAAAACATCTGAATTAGATACGTGGAGCTGGGAATCTCTGAGAGACAGGCCATATTCAAAGGCCACTGCTTTCATTGAGGTGACTCAGCATGAGACAGGAGAGAGCCAAGCTCGGGATCAAAATCATCATAAATGTGAACTATTAAGGTATGAAGATAGGCACATTAAAGGAGATGTTTGGAAGTAAGAGAAGGATCAAGAAGGTGTAATAGCAGAGGGGACACTGAAAGAGACTTTAAAGAATAGTGTAGTCTACACTTTCAAAGGCAGAAAAATTGGATGGATTTATTCATTATAACCTCATTAGCAACTTAGTAAAAGACAGCACATCCAAGAACTGAAGAAAAAAATCAGATAATGAGTGAATGCAAGAAAATAAGGCATTATCCAGAAAATATATTAATAATAAAACAACCTTGTTTGTTATGGGAGGCAAGAGTTGTACTGGGAGGTTGAGGAGATGTGCAGGCTCAAGAAAATGTTTTTAGAGATACAAACATATTTACAAATGCAGGGGAGCTATTCGAGATCATGGTAAAAACGGGAAATTTGGCGTAGACACGTCTGCAGTAAAATCACACAACATTTATCACTTGCTCTTCTCAGACACTCTCCTAATTTCTTTGTATTTAGTCTTTACAAAAATTCTAGAGAGAAGATATTTTATTATTTGTCTTTTTTTTTTTTACTGCTCAACCTGCTTTGTTCAGAATAGACCATAGGGAACCCAAGACAGAAGAAGGAAGGTTAGTTGGAAGGCTTTGCGCAAATGCTGTTGCAAGATGATGGTGAATTGAGTGAGGGAAAGTATTAAGAAGAGGGTAGATTTCAGATTCTTTTTTTTTTTTTTTTTGAGATGGAGTTTTGCTCTCGTTGTCCAGCCCAGAGTACACTGGCGTGATCTCGGCTCACTGCAACCTCCGCCTCCCAGGTTCAAGTGATTCTCCTGCCTCAGCCTCCCAAGTGGCTGGGGCTACAGGCACATGTCACCATGCCTGGCTAATGTGTGTGTGTGTGTGTGTGTGTGTGTGTGTGTGTTTTAGTGGAGATGAAGTTTCATCAGGTTGGCCACATGATCTCTATCTCTTGACCTCATGATCCACCTACCTTGGCGTCCCAAAGTGCTAAGATTAGAGGTGTAAGCCACCGTGCCTGGCTCCAAGTTTCTTTTTGAAGATAGGAAAAATAAGATTGTTGCTGGAGCAGATGTGGGCTGTGAAGGAGATAAATAAAAAAACAACTGCAAGCTTTTGGGATTGAGTAACTGAAATAATGAAGTTGTTATTGACTGTGATGAAGACTATGGGAAAATAGTTTGGTGCGGAGGAAGGTAAGAAGTAAGGCTTGAGAAGCCTAATAGCACATTCAAGTGCAGATGTCGAGTAGGTAGCTGGATATACAAATCTGGAGTTTAGATGAGAAGTTTAGGCCAGAAATATAAGTGTGGGAGTCATCAGCGTATGGTTAATATTTATATAAGTTCATGAGACCAGAGGAGATCACCTAGGGTATTAACCTAGAAAAGAGGTAACATTTAGAAATTGAATCCTAGTGTGGAAAAGATGAAAAGAAACCAGTAAAAAAAAAAAAAAAAAAAAAAAAAAAAAAGACTGAAAAGGAGAAGGTATCCAGGTAGAAAGGTAGCCAGGAGAGTGCTTTTGGAAAACTAAGTGAGGAAAGTATTGTAAGGAAGAGGAAAAAAATAACTGTTTCCAAAGCTAAGTTCAAATATGAAGAGAAAAGAGAAATGGCCTTTGGATTTAGTAATGGCTAATTGCTATGTCAAACCAGGGAACCTCAATTACTGCATTTTGGTGACAAATTAAACTTCCTAAGTAGCAGGAATGAGCTACATTGAGCTCAGTGGAAGCCCTTTTTTCTTCTCACATGAATCAGAATTTTTAGTTCGTTCATTAACCAGAAGAGCTGTTGTTTGCCAATCTTTTGGTATAGATTCAAGGTTTTTCTTTGTATAGAAATAACTTGCCTAAAAGCAAACATTTGAGTTTCTGTTTCAGTTTCATCAAAGAATGGAAGAACTTAAAGACATGTACAGCCATTCGACTTCGGAACATCTAATTTTTGCAACTGTAACCAAATATTCTAAAGTTGAATTGCCCATACCTATTTCAACAGAAAACGATACCAATTCATACTTACTGACTCTTCCTAAAACGTTCAACCTAGTTTTCCTAGAAATTTCTATTTTTTTAACTCCACTTTTATTGATTTACAAAACAATACACATAACATGAACACGTTTGGGAACAAACACTATTCTCTCTTGGTAAGAGTAGTAGGGAGGTAAAGGAGGACTAAACACTGTAGCTGCTTGTTGGCCCAGAGGAAACATGCCATGGTTATCAGCCAGCAATTTCATAGTGGGGAGCAGAATATTATTAATTTCAAAAAGAAAAAAAAGAAAAATGCATTATATTGAGAAGATATCCTACTAAATTTTTAATCACTTATAATTTGTATACTGATACCCAATTTATAAAAATATAAAGGAAACAACATCAGCAGGATTAACTTGTCACTGCCTATCTCATGAAAGCTGAATTTATCTCATGAAAGCTAAATCTAGTCTTCTGACAAAACCCAAGACTTCACACCACCTTCCTCCCCACAGAGACCCCCCTTCTGCCAGTCATCTACCCTCTGTACAGTTGTCTACAGGACTCTTCAGTTATCATTTCTGGATTATTTAATAGATAGTTTCCCATCTCCTTTCACTTATTTGAAATCTTAACTAAGACCTCTGGAATGCAAAGTATGGGTCTCTTTTTTCATAATGACCACAAATACACAGTTTAATTTTTGAGCATATAATTATTATGTATTTTTGTTATAAAACACTAATAATTGTCCACGATGTATTTATGCCTTGTAGTATCCATATTCATTAATCCTACTAATAATTATAGGACAATTTCTGGGTGCCAAGCATGATTCTCTACCTAGTTGGAGAGGTCAATGAGGGCCTCTCTGAGAAGGTAACATTTATGCTGAGACATAAATGGAAGAACAAGCAGCCTGCGGCCAAGAGGGGACCTCTTCACCCCATAGCAGGAATAACTGGAGCATATTGGAGACACAATCATAAAGTGTAGTGAGTGAAAGGAGAGTGGCAAGAAATGAGGATGGAGTTGCAGAGGATTTGGGGTGGTAGGTCCAGGCAGGCTCTGGTAAACATTTCCATGTTATTATAAGTGAAATGGGAGCCCTTGTGGAGTTTTAAGGAAAGGAGTGACATGATCTGATTTATATTTAAAAGATTCATCCTGGCTCTGATTGAAGAATAATAAAATCCAGGACATTAATTGGCAGACCAACATGGATTACTCTCACAGACATTAGGTTGAGGAAAAGAATCCAGGCACAAAAGAAGCACAGGCTGTCCTGTGTTTTGATTTCTATGCATTATAGGCATATGATGTTCTATGCATTGATTTGTGTGGGGTTTACCAGTAGTCCAGGAAGAAGACGTGGCCGAGTGCCAGTTACAGTGGTGAGGGAGAGGCCTTTAGTGTGTCTGATCCGTGTTGGAAGAGCCAATGTCTTGTCCAAAATCACAAAGCTAGTGCCAGGGGGCCCAGGTTTGAAGTCCAAATTATCCTACTTATTTTATTAATAAAAATGGTTCAGCTGTATACATTTATGCAAAGAAATTTTATTCAGCATCAATAAGGAAAATTGATTGGTTATGCAACAACACGTATTAATTTTACAGACATTACACTGAGTCAAAGAAGACAGACACAATGAGGAACTATTATATGAAGTTTTACAACAAGCAAAGTGAATTGGTCTATGGTTACAGAAGGAAAAAAAGTGACTACTTCTTTGTGGTTACAGAAAAGCTTACTGGACAGGGCCATGAGGGAACTATCTGGAGTGATGGATGTATTTCATATCTTGATCCATGCATGGATACACGATTAGATAGGTAGGCAGGTAGGTAGGCAGGCAGGTAGGTAGGTAGATAGATAGATAGGTAGGTAGGTAGGTAGGTAGGTAGGTAGATAGATAGATAGATAGATAGATAATTTGCCAAAATTTATTGAACCAAATTATTAGGGGAAAAATTCAGGGTACATAAATGCTTTCTTAAATATATAGGGTCAAAATATGATAGTCTGGGATAAGAATCCAAGTTTTCTGATGTCAGGTTATATACTCTTGTCTTGAAGCCATAGGTCTTGGGCCTAAAGCTACTAGAGAATGCAGGTTTCTGACCCCTAGACAAATGTCATGACTCCAGTATCCAGAGTAACCCTTTTCCCTTTGAAGTTGCAGCTAATAAAATCTAGAGTTCCAAGTCATGTCCTGCATGGGCAAGGTAAATGTTCTAGAACAAGAGAAACTATGCTGAAAATGGAAGAGTTTTTTTTGAGACAATGGAATAATTTTAGGTCCTGAACCATGTGATAAAAGTGTTCTAAGAAAATCTCTCAAGATCTAGAATGAGGCAAATAACCAAGACAGCTTAAAATAAACCCTGTAAATGGACTGGGTTAGCTTATCAGGATTTAGAGTCATTCTAATGACATTTTTGACAACAGTGTCCACATGATTAATAATGGGAGGCGATGCCCTTACAGGAATGACATTTTGGCAAAACTCAATATCTTCTCACAGTTCATTTTTTATAGGTTCTATTCATGGACTGCATACTTATACAGTCTCATTAGTCTGCCATTAATCATTTCTAGGTCTGTCTGTATTCTGTAGTTTTCAAGGCTTGAGTTTGCATACATGAAAACAATATGCCCCATTCATATAACGTTTTGGTTTATAAGGCATTTGGGATCTGAATCATGAGACATTCAGGAGGTGGGAGGTTATGACTTCTGTACTTATCTGTAGGTCTTTGGGTGAGCTGAAGCCGTGATGGAGAGTCGTGTCCCATGAGGTCCATGCTCAAATGATACCTGAACAATAAAAGGGATGGGAAAAACAGAGAGGCTGGCTTTGAGGGTGATGGATTCATGAGTACCCAGGCTCTCTGATGCTGTGATTTTGTTACTTTTTGTGAATCAGTTTATATATAATAATGTCATATCTCTCTTTAGAATACATTAGAGAATATATTTAGAATACATTATACCTCCACACAGGTATAAGGATCCTGGAAGACATAAAATGTCCTGTTACCTTTCCTGAAGTATTTGCCTTATGCACAGCATTCCAAGCCAGTAAGCTCTTGCCAAGTTTAAAAATGGATGGATATGAAGGTGGAGGCAGGGTTGGGTTAAGAGATCATTAGACATAAAATATCCGAGTTACCAGTAAAAGGTCACTGGACTGAAGCAGGAAACTTTTCATTCTGGTTCTTTAATGCATTTTGCTCAGCATAGCAGCTCGTTCTACTCCTCTGTATTAGTTTGCTAAGGGTGTCATAACAACATTCCACAAACTGAGTGGTTTAAACAACAGAAATGTATTGTCTTGTAGTTCTGGCAGCCAGAAGTCAAGTTGTCACCAGCGTTGGCTCCTCCTGAGGGCTGCAAGGGAAGGGTCTATTCCTTCCTGCAAAGGTTTTCAGATGGCCTTTTTCCTGTATCTCCTCACAACATCTTCCCTCTATGCATGCATGTCGGTATCCAAATTCACTCCCCCACCGCCCTTTTTTTGTTTTTTGTGTTTGAGACGGAGTCCCGCTCTGTTGCCCAGACTGGAGTGCAGTGGTTTGATCTCAGCTCACTGCTACATCCACCTCCATGGTTCAAGTGATTCTCCTGCCTCAGCCTCCCGAGTGGCTGAGACTTCAGGTGCATACCACAACACCCGGCTAACTTTTTGTATTTTTAATAGAAATGGGGTTTCACCATGTTAGCCAGGGTGGTCTTGATTTCCTGACCTTCTGATCCGCCCACCTCGGTCCCCCAAACTGCTGGGATTACAGGTGTGAGCCACTGTGCCTGGCCAAATTTCCCCCCTTTTATAAGGATACTACTTATGTTGGATTAAAGTCCACCCTAATAATTTCATTTTAAACTGACTACAACTGTACAGACTCTATCTCCAAATATGGTCACACTCTGGGGCAGTGAAGGTTAGGACTCCAAACATACTTGTTTTGGGTGACATAATTCAACCCATAACATATCCTGATCCTTGGCTTCCTCATCTCCAAAACAAGTATATTTACCTTACACCATTATTTAAAAATAGAAAAGCAACCAATGTATGTTTTAAAAAAATCTTAGTAAACTGAAGATTCTGCATAAGAATAAGGCAGCAAAAGCAATGAGAGATAGTGGCATAGATACATATATAATAATAAGAGCTGTCTCTCACTGAGAACGGCCATGTGCCTGGCAGTTCTAAATGTATTCACTTATGAATCTATGAAATCTCCTATGAAGAAAGATGGTAGCATTATCTTCGCTTTCCAGATGAGGAAACTGAAGGACAGCAAGTTTGGGTAATTTGCTAAGGACACAGCTTATAAGCAGTACGGCCACTTATAAGCCACTCCATTAGAGGCCAGAGCTTGTAGACTTAATCACATCCCCTCCCCATGTACAGTTGCTAGTGAGAGAACCAACTTTAAATTTTCAGAATAAAGTTTGTTATAAAAATAGAAATAGATATTAAGAAATGAAAATAAAAATTATTTCTAAAGACAACTAGGTAAATGGAAAAGTTGGTAAATAGTTAAAATGTGACCTTATTTTAAGTATGATATACTACAGGTAAAGATATGCAGCACTTTTAAGTAATACCGTATATAGAGAAGTAGATAAAAATAGGTAAACTATTAACATTAAGTTTTCCTGTAGTGGAATCCCAATTAAAGCAACAATGTAGAGGACTAAGAAGCAAAATCTGCTTGGATCCAAATCCTGACTACATCATTTCTCAGCTTTGGGACTTCGGTCATGTTGCTGTGAATCAGTTTCCTCATTAAAAAAAAAACAAACAAAAAAAACATTGTTATGAGGATGGAACATGCTAATATTTATAAAATGCTCATAAAAAGTGCTTGACACAAAGTAAGCTATAGACTAAAAAATGGTGATTCCAGACCTCAAGAAATAAGAACTTGAATTTCAGAAAAATCTCTCATTATTCATGAAGTCCACTCCATAGCTTGATCAAAAGAGAAGTGGGATATTATGTAGTAGACTAGTGGCAGCACCTTTAACCCAGAAATAAGTTTGGCCTTTGTAAAGAGAAGGGAAATTAAAATTATTTCAGGACCTACTATGTGCAGAGTCTTTATCTGCTATATATATAGGCATGTGCTATTTCATCAATGGTTCAGAGGGCATAAATTGTTAATAAAGCTATTTCAGGGATTATTAAATTGAGAGTTGCTTAGGGTCATACAATTTTTGAGTCAAGAATTAAACACAGGTCTATTTCATTCCAAGGCCCATGTTACTTTCTGGTAAAATAAATAAATAAATAAATAACCTGAAACATAATATATCTTCTTTGAATCCCTAATAGTGGATGCTATCATACCCCGATTACTTAAATCGATCCTGTACATTACCAAGAGATTAAATTGTAAATTATTGAGTTCAAAAGGATAATTTCTTCCTCCAAAGAGATGGCATTTTACAGTTTAGTTACTCTGACAGTTTTTTTTTTTCTCCTAGTGAATTATCAATGGGAACTACCTAGAGAAACCTGTGACTTCAGTTCTTCTGATTAGTCGATTTCTTAGAGTGCCACTTGGTAGTGACAGAATGGTCCATGGGATCAGTTTTTCAATTGATGTTTTCAGCAATGATAGGAACACACAGCTGATGACACGAATACAGAGCTAAGCAGAGTATCAAGAGATATTTAGTGCAGTAGAGACATCTCATCTGTTTTTCTGCAGAATTTGCATAAAATTAGTATCTGATTATTATCATCACCTCAGAATGAATGATGTCTTTGAGTGTAAAAGTGGGGAGGAGCCCTGGTGGAAGAAGAGAAGCCTTCAGCCTCACAATAGAAAAGAGTGTGTTTGTGCACCTAAATCTAACTTTGATACACTCCTTCTAATCCAAGGAACAGGCACTTTTAGGGAAATGATAGAAAGATGCAGAGGAGATGAAGCGCCTTGGGCTGAATTTGAGAAATTAGAAGTAAATGTTCCAGACTGATGACCTGAAGGGAGGGTGTGCATTTTAATGTAAGGAACCAATCTGTAGAAGAAGCACTACATTCACCCTTAAATGAACAAAGAGGATCCCAATCACTCTCCCTCTGACCCTCCCCTCTTCCTTCATTTTTCCAGCTCTTTATTTCCAAGAAGGCCAGCTCTTCTCTTTAGCCACATGGTATTTGGACAGCCTAGACTCAATACCTGTAGGAAAAGCTCATTTAGCCAGCTGAGCCAGTTTCTGAACAACCAAGTCTGGTAAGCACAAGGGCGAAGTAGTTAAGAAGCCTGTTGTGGCTGGAGGGCTAAAGCCTTGTTCTCAAATCAGCTTTATAGATAATAAAACTGACATTGAAGTAAAAACAAATAAAAGTAATAAGGCTTCTTCTGTGGATTTCCCAGGTATTATTTCTCATTTGGTTCCAAATAGGGAGAAAAAGGTATATTTATTATACCCTTCCCCCAGCCTCAACAGATTAAATGGGTTAATACATGAAAAGCATCAATCACAGTGTCTGGAACATCATCAGTATCAGTAAATATTAACTATGACTTTGAGGCTGGCCCATGTGGCTCCTGGCATTACAGGCACCAGTGGAATTCCAGGGAGACTCGGAGGAGTACAGTCTGGGGGAGTACGGAGGATGCGCTACTGTGTGGCAGGTGCTTTGCAAACTGCATTGGCTCTATATCTATGTCCTTTACTGAAAATAGGGTTGATATTTTCAGACTCTAACGGGATTCTACATACTATTATTCTGAAATTCATCTGCACTTTTTGGGATTTTGTATCTACATGATGCATAGTAACAGTTCTTAATTTGGTTTATTCCTAGCTTATCTATGTTTGTCATTATTTCAGGATCTAGTAAAGTTGAAATCAATTTTAGAATTACAAAAAAAAAGAGTATAAGTAGGGTCTTACTGTGTTGCATTTAAATGCATCGAGATGGAAGATTTAAAACACCCAATGAGTTTTATTCTGTTTCTTTATTCACTATTAAAGGTAGTACTGTGCCACATTCCCTACCCTCTATTTTTGACGCTGACATTAGGTTTATTTTGATTGTCTAAGAGGTCCTGGGCTACAAGCTGGCAAGACTTGCTGGGTGGAAGTCACAAGCAAAGATTTGCTGTATTGTACAGCCAAGAGCAGAGACAGGTTTTCTTGGGGGGAGGGGGGGAGGGGCATGAGACTTATACAGTGGAGAGACACTATTAAGAAATAGAATACAAAATAATGACTACAAAATGAGAGGCCCCAAAGCTTATATTTCATTAGCTTCACAGTGAACATATTTCGGCCCAAAGCCAAGGACTATAGACACGACCTAGTAACGGCATCCAATGATTCCATTTATTGCCTCCCCTGGGGCAGAAATGGTGGCAACAAAGCAACTTCCAGTCACAGCTATCTTCTTTTATTTGACACAGGAAGGGGGAGCTCCCTCTTTAATCTCTAATAGAAACATTAAACAGCAGGCTATGACAATTTCTAGCTAAAGAGAGCTTTCATAGGACCTTTACAAATGTTGCATTCCTCCTTCCCTTCTTGTAATATGCATAATGTACCTTTTAGGAATATAAATTCAGTGTCTTGGAATACATGATTTAGAATCAGTGTTCAGTTACAATTGTCAAATAAAAAAATTCAGCATGTGACTAAGTGAAAGAAGTCAGTCTGAACTGGCTACATATTGTATGATTCCAACTATATGACATTTTGAGAAAGGCAAGACTATGGAGACAGTGAAAAGGTCAGTGGTTGCCAGGGGTTAGAAGGAAGGGAGAGATGAATTGGGAAAGCACAGAAGATTTTTAGGGCAGCAAAACTGTTCTATACGATACTGTAATGGTTGATACGTGTCATTATGCATATGGCAAAACACATATGTCTCGATCCATTTAGGCTGCTATAAGAAAATACCTTAGACTGGGTGGCTTATAAACGGCAATTTGTTTCTGACAGTTCTGAAGTCCAAGATGAGGGCACTGGTAGGCTCCATGTCTGGTGCAGGCTGTCCTCTTGCTATAACTTCACTGGTGGAAGGGGCAAAGCAGCTCTCTGGGACTTCTTACATAAAGCTATTAATCTTATTCGTGAAGGCTCTGCCCTCATGACCTAGTCACTGCTAAAAGGTCCCACCCTTTAAAACCATCACATTGAGCTGTAGGTTTATTCGGGATGAATTTTGTGGGGAACCCAAATAGCAGACCAAAATTCACTAGGGATTGTTTTGGGGAGACATAAACATTCAGACCACAGCAGCACAGAA